CAAACCCAAAAAGCCCAGCATGAATGCAGGCACACTTACATGCAGCTGAAACATCTCAGTAATGAGTAACCACAGCTCCACAGACTCCACTCTGCAGACAGACAATGCAAACCGTGACACAGTTCGAAGGTAGAAGAGGGGAGGGCTGCCAGGGAAAGCTGAGGAGTTACGATCCAATGAAATACATTAGCACTGGGACACAACATATCGTTGCAAAAGCCATTTGACAAACCACGAAGATTTCCTTGCATCAAGTCGTAGGCCTTAAGCCTGCACGGAGCCGCACGTGGATCCAGCAGCACCGACCTCCCACCCACCTTAACTGTAAAAAGTAGCACGCAAATGAAAATAAAATCCTTTGATCTTGACCTCCTGCATGATTGGGGCCCCAGTGCTCAACTGACTGAAGGACATGGGCCCTTAAAATAGTAGACACAAATGGGATTTTAAAAGTCTCAGCAGAAAGAGCCTTTTTTGTTTGACGCATCTAAAATCATGTAAATGCTGCCTTACAATTAAGCCTGTAGATGGCAACTTGAAGATACACAAAGGCACGATGGTGAGTTAGCGTGAATGAAAGATAACAAATGGTTTAAAAAATTCCTATTTATTTCCCTTGCCTCAGCAGGTGATTCCTGTGTGCCTGATGTGCTCTGGTAGAGGGTCCCACTGCTGCTGGAATCTTTCATGTAACTTGTTAGTCACCGTTGCTGGGTTCCTCAGTTTTGGCACCAGCAGTTGTTGAGATGGGCTGAGACATCAAGCCTCCTCCCGCCTGGCAAAATCAAATCTGGAGCAGTCTTCTCTCTGCCCCCGGGTGCTAGGTGGAAGGAAGTGAGAATCATAGAATCATAGAATCACTTTGGTTGGAAGAGACCTTGAGATCATCAAGACCAACCTTTAACCTAACCCTGCCATCCCACCACTAAACCATGTCCCTAAGCACCTCATCTATCCTTCTTATAAATACCTCCAGGGATGAGGACTCCACCACCTCCCTGGGCAGCCCATTCCAGAGCCTGACAACCCTTTCGGTGAAGAAGTTTTTCCTAACGTCCAGCCTAAACCTGCCCTGGTGCAGCTTCAAACCATTCCCCCTCGTCCTATCATCTGTTACCCGGCC